AGGGAAAGGAAAGTTGTTGAAGCAGTGGAGGTGATTGAAAAGGAGATGGTGGAGGCAAACTGTGTTCCAACTGTAAGAGTGTATGGTGTTGTGGTAAGAGGCCTTTGTAGCGAAGGGCAGTCTGTTTTGGCCATTTTGTATCTGAAGAAGATGGAAAAGCAGGTGGGTTGTGTTGCAGACAAGAAAACCTATGGCATTTTGGTCGATGGGCTTTGTGGGGAGAGTAGATTTCTTGAAGCAAGCAGAGTATTGCAGGAGATGTTGATCAAGTCACATTGGCCTTGTGCTGAGACTTACAATAGAGTTATTACTGGCCTTTGCTCAGTGGGCAAGCAATATGAAGCTGTTATGTGGTTGGAGGAGATGACAAGTCGGGCTATGCTACCGGAATATTCTGTATGGAGCTCATTGGTGGCATCTGTGTGTTGTAACATGGCCAACATTGCGGTTTGCGCGGACGCCTATAAGAGGCTAAAGAGTTCTTGATTTCTATGTAGTTAGACCAGTTGAAAATGGTTAACATGCGTTGTACACTTTTTTGCCCCTTCTTATTTATGCATTTTTCATCATTTGGGTATAAAAAATTTCATATTTAAATAGTTGAGTACACCAAAATTTATAACGAAAACCATGTCACTTTTTCAATTGAAGTGTCCATATTTTTGGGTAGCATTGTACGGGTTCATTTCATTTCATTCAATTTTACAAAAAAGATAAAATTGTAATCATTATTTTTATTTTACCAAACAAACCATAGTATTTTATTAGATAAATTGAAAAAGTACATAGAGAGCCATAGCTTCCCAGTGACAAGAGCCAGCTCTATCTTGAGAGAATAAATTGAAAAGAACTTGTCTAAAAACCCCTATATACCATCTAAGTTGTCCTAGATCAAGTCAGTTACATTAAGGACCAAAAAAATAGACAAATCGGAAATCGTTTCGACATCTAATTGTGTTCTACAAAATCAATGAATACAGTATTTCAAGAAAGTACTAAAATTTCAATAATTCAATTGAATGGTCAAATGATATTGGATTCAAGTGATTTTGTGTAGAGATGATCTTTGAATGAATATTTACAAAATCAACGGTTTGGATTAGTGAAATACAATACGGAGTGGGCCCAATAAGGGTGTCCTTCAAATAAGTTATTTGAGGGATCCCTCAACTGAAGCTCTCTGTATATATAGAATTTATATATATATATATATAAATTCTTCTATGCAAACGTTCGGACATTATTATTGTGCGAAGGACATGTATTTTCTACCACCCTGCTTTCCTCCCTAGTTACAATGATATGCATGATAATAACGAACGAACATATGGATGAGAGAATAACTATATATATATATATATATACGCTCAAAGAGTATAGTCGCGTGGCTCTACTATTTATTAAAAATATATATACAAAAAAGGAACCTTCTATTTGCATTAGGTTATACTTTATAGATATTAATTTGCTAGTTTTGATATTTATACATTATAGATTTATTTTTAAAAAAAGGTCAAGTGTATTAAACATGAAAAATACGTATGTATGTGTACGATACAAGTATTAAATGTGAAAATGCTAAATTCTTTATATGAGTAATAACTCTGGAAAAGTAAAAACTCAAAAGTAATGGATAATGCTCTAAACTATTGATAAACAAAAATTGAGAAAAAACAATTTTTTTTAAAAAAGGATCACACTATCTAATGTAAAGCATATAGCCAAGCGGCCATACTAGTTATAAAAAAAAAAAAAAAAAAGACCCTAAGACACCCGAGTGGCT